CACCATCGGCTGAAACTGAAACGCGTCATTCATGATTTTCATAGATTTTCGAAGATACATATATCTATGGATGAGTTAATATAGTCATATAAAGTTATGTATGTTTGATGTATGTATAATTGTTTGTTTGTTTGTTTGAGAGAGAGAGAGAGAGAGAGAGAGAGAGAGAGAGAGAGAGAGAGAGAAAGAGAGAGAATCGCAGGACATTATCATTGCATCTCATTGGTATTCAATTGAATTATTTAACTAAATAGAAAATGTCTTATTCGGTCTTTTTGGTCGGTCTTAATGCTAATATTTCGTTGTGAATTTATATAAACATCTATAAACTGCATGATAATTTCATTTACGGTGTCGAAACCGCAACACTTTTGGTATTGAAATACCAGATACAGTTTTAAACTGGGATAATATCACAAATTAAATTCTTTATAGTATTTTTAAAAACGTTTAGTATCACTATCATCAAGTTGCTTGTAAATTTGTGATCTGTGTTTTAAATTGCATTTCAAGAAAATTAAATCGACACACAGTTTATAGAACAGGATATTTATAAATTCATATCGAAATATTAAGCACTAAGATTCAACTAAGCTCCAGTTAAGGTATTTTTTTATTTAATTGTGTTTTTTACGTATCAATCGGAAATGTCATTTATTGTTCAATCTAATTCTGAATTATGCAATCATCCTTTTAATTGCACGATACTCAATTGTTATCCATGTAAGCTAACATATTTTGTTATTTCGTTAAATATCTCACGAGATATTTGTACGACATTTACATTATCAAATCTTTAATGGAACTCACGCTTTTGTGCTTCGTTGACAAGTTGGAGAATTCGTGCAGTGGCATGCCGTTGCGGATCGTGCAATATCCGACGTAACTGCTGTGTCCGCTGATAGAAGTCACCGTTGAGTGCTCCAGAAGGCTTCTCGATGGTGATGTCTCTATCGTTGATACCAGACGTCTCTTCCTTAAATATTCCGACGGCTCATCGCCTACGGAAAAATTTCACGACAATTTTACAACCACCAAATTTCGCCACGGAGTTTTACGACCGTATAAACACGAACGAAACAATTTCCGAAACAATCACGTAAAATGAATAGAAGCGCACTCGACGAAATTTTCTTTCAATCTTGAAGAAAATGTGCTGTGGAATGTTAGCGGATCCACGGAGGGGGGAGGGGACTATAGAGGTCATGCTATAAATATTTAAAAAAATGAAGACTTCAAGTTTTCAAAAATATTTATATAGGACAAAATGTTATATATATTTTTAATATTTTTAAAATACTTAATCACAACTCTGATATTTCAAAAATATTTTTTAATTTAAGAAACTCCTAAATACAAAAGAAAAAATAAATTCTATTACATTATTCTTTTCTTGTATTAATATAATTTTAAATAAAACATTTTCTATATTTTAA